TCGAGTGTAACAAAAATGGTGTGCCATTCGATATGTGGCTCACCCGGAACATGTTGGGTCCTATCCAAGGTTCAATTACTCAAGCTAAAGTTGTACTTTTCTCCACATTCTGTACACTGCTCACGTAAGACCTAGCCTCGAGTACTGCTCACACGTTTGGGATGCTACCGCTACAACATTACCTATGCTCGATGCTGTTCAGAGGATGAACGTTCGACTGATCACATATTTTCCTTGTGAGGAGCGTAGAATGTTTGTGAATATTACTCACTAAAAACTCACCACCTATAGGACGCATTTAGAAACCACAGCAATTTTGTTTAAAATAGATACTGACCACCGACGTTTAGCAGTTATGTAGTTTTCTGTATGCTTTAATTCATGCATCGTGGTCTACTTCATAGCATGCTCTTGATGAGCTTCTCGAAAACTCTCCGAGAACATCCGTGGGTACGCAACTTCAGATCTAAAATTATCTCTTTCCGTTTAGAATGAACTGGCAAAACTTTTCAATGTAATTCGATGTTTTAATTCCTCCATTCCCTCATTGTCGCTTTATCGGTAATTCATAAAAGGCTGCGAAGCTATCGTCATAGAATATTTGCTGATAAAAGTTGTGTCGCGTACATCAACTCTATTTTTAGACTCCATTACAGGGGCAGCAGGCAGCATTATCCTCTTCATAAATGGAAGTTCACGGGTTGAAGGTCGGCTTAATCATTTATCTCTTTATCCGAATGTTCGGAAACCAGCCTCTATACGGAAAGCATGTAAACAAAATGAAAACCATTTAGATATGACAATTTGTGTGACAATTTGTAGAAAACCATAACTGTGTTTTCTGGAAATTTTTTTGCTCCGTTGGAGAATTGGACTTTTCGTGGAGCTTCCTAATAATTGAAAATAAATAATTTTAGTATCTGCTCTAGACCAGAAATAGACAAAAAAACTGTATAAAAATTCTTACATAGTGCTTTCCAAAAATATCCCTCCCCCTACTTATCTTTTAATGTTTCAAGTTAGCAACTGAAATTGAGGGTGATGGAATTGATGCATGAATACTATATTTTAACGAAATAGTGGCAATTTCATATTTCATTATTACTGCTTTACAATCTCAGGGCATAAAATGGTCTCCCAAAATCGCAGACTGGCTAGCTATCAAATTTGATCATTCTTTTACATTGGACTGTTGATAGCTCAAAAGTCAAAACGCGTTTTGTATCAATATTCTTCTTTTGGAGATATCTATATGAGTCTGCAATAAAATGGGCAATCTATTTAAAAAATTGACAGATTTTGTCATTTTTTTAAATGAAATCTCCCATTGCATCCTCAAATAGATCTTTCCAGAGATGAATATTGAGATAACATACAATTGCGTTTTTATGGTGGGCTGTTGAGCTATAAGCGATTCAACGTACAAAAACAAAAGATTATGCTTTTATTTTATAGAGTTACAAAGTACTCATAATGAGCCTCAAAATTATATATCACATAATCCCAATCCTATTTAAAAAATATTCCTATATCTGGGACATTTCAACATTTACTTTTACGCTAAAATATAGTATTCATATACCAATTTTATCACCCCATATTTCAGTTTGCCAACTTCACCCACTCAAAAGCAAGCGAAACCTTTTTTTTTGTGTATTTGATGTGTTAGTTGCATTTGATCCCAATTTATAGAAATTTTTCTTTTTGAGAAACATAGTCTATCGTCACATTCCAGTTTCGTCAGGAATGTTTAAAACAGGCATTAAAATGACAATTCAAAATTTTAAAAAGATCCACTGTCCAGTCTTTGCGATATGTGGCTCGGAAGTTGATAAATCTGTGTATCACTCGTATTGATGTTTTTTTCATTATTTCATTTCGCGAAGAAAAGCAATAAAGGAGTGGTTGAAAAATTGACCGTATGACACTTGGATATCATTAAAATATCACTGCAAAATCGAAAGTTAATCCTTCAGTCAGTTTCTGATATACTTGGTAAGAAAGATGATAAATGAGCAGTTTCCAACCTGTTTAGGCACTTGGTGTGTATGGATTTCATTTAAATTAGCAGTGTCGTTCTTGTCATACTTTGCTTCGTAATGAAGCATTTGAACGACCGATATTTTTGTAACAATATTTGGCTATATATATATATATATATATATATATATATATATATGGCCATATTAGCGTATAACACTGAAAACTAAATATCGCTGATGTCGTAATGTGTACGAGAGAGAAGCGCGAGAAGCATGCAATACGTGTGTTAGAAAGAGATAGAAGCATGTCGGTGCCTAGCAACCCGAGCACGAGGTCACGGATGCCAACGGCGCACTCTTTCTAACATACATATTGCACGCTTATCGCGATTCTCTCACATACACTTACGAAGTCAGCCATATTTGAACCTCACCGTAGGTCGGCTATATATTTCGGCTACATCCGCTACAAAGACAGACATACAGACAAATTAGTTAGCACAGCAACCCTACAGGGTATTAAAAAAATTTGGATAGATCAAAACATCTCGAAAAATATGTTTCCTAGCAAAAAAATGTTGTAGATCAATGTGATCGTGACCTTGACTTTCGAGACTATTTGAAAGTCAAGACATTTTTCTTAAATGAAACGCTTATTTTTGGAACATCCGAAATAAGAAGGACAAGAAACTTGTTGTTCAAGTATGTGTATGACTGTCAAGGTCACTTGAAGATCAAGTGAATTTTTATCGGAATCTATTTCTGTACCTCAGAGCCAGAGATGTTAAGTCCGAATAAGTACTTTTGAGATAATTGTATTTGAAATATTTTTCTTGACATGTTGAGTTAAAAGATAGCAAATGAAAATTCACAATATTATCATCAGCTTCATAATTATTAAACTCATGTTTGACAAAAATCGACTTAACCTAGACGGGCTCTGGGGTAATGATTTTTAATTTCTGAAATGCAAATTGTGGACAATTTTCAATTTTGAGTGCAAGTATATCCTTGCCAATGGAACCGGGCGGATCCAGCATTTGTATCAGGGGGTCACAGGATTCATGTTCAGGAGGATATTTGTCTTTGGAGGGGGGGGGGGGGGATTCCGATATAATGAAACGTTCTGGGTTTTGGAGTGAAACAGACCTATTATCGTGTTTTATAAACTATGGCACCATTTCCCAATATGGTTCTCCGACTTGAAAATTTGGTAATTCTTATAACATATTCGTCACTATTGACCTGAAAACACACGGATATTTTTTCTTACAACGGTTTACATTTCCATTATCTCAAATATGAATAAACTTCTTGAAACAACCGCAGGTAGCATTACATCGCCAGAGCGGCCCGAAGGACCTTTGCTTTTGGTTAAGCCTTGTAAGTCAGTTGGTCTAACAAGATACCAGATAAAGTCAGGGGGAAAGAAGGGAAGAATTAAGGAAGGAATGAGGGAGAGCAAAGAAGAAAGACGTGTGTCAATTTGAGGGGTGCCTTGGCATCGCTAACTAGTTTTCGGCAATTTTAAATTGATCCGCAAATTAATTCAGAGATTGGTTGATGAAGAACAATTATTAAGTTTTGCATATGGAAATAAAACAACACGGTAGGTAGTTTTAAATGATTATATTGTTTTTTGAAGTATTCTTGACGAAGATTGATACACATCTGCATGCGCTCGAACCAATTTTCGAAGCACTTATTCCACTCGTTTGCTGGCAGATCCAAAACGGCATTTTTGAATGCGTCAACTGCTGCTTCTGGTGACTGGAACCGTTGACCACGCAGTCTGTTTTTAATTTTCTGGAAAGTAAAGAAATCGTTAGGACTTAGATCGGGACTATATGGAGGATGGTCCAATAATTCCAAGTTTTCTTCCATTAAATACTGCCTTGTTTTTTGGGCTGTGTGCGAGCTTGCATTGTCTTGGTGGAGGATGATTCTTCTTTCGGGGTGGATTTTTCGAAGCTCGGTGATGACTTTTGACAAACAAATGGTGGTATATCAATCCGTAGTAACAGTTCTTTGCTCATTAAGAGGAATTGTTGCAATATGGCCAGCTTTTGACACAAATGTCGCGACCATCTTTTTCGAAACACTTCGAGAACGGATGACTTTTGTTGGCTTTTCTTCACCTTGGAACACCCAAACAGCCGACTGTCGTTTGTTTTCTGGTTCATAACAGTAAATCCACAATTCATCACCCACTAACAATGCTGTACACGTTTTTTGAGTTTCCGGAATTGAAACGGTCAAGCGTTTTTTGACACCAATTAACACTGGCCTGCTTTCTGCTCTTCAGTCAACAGGTGGGGTATCCAACGAGAAACTAATTTTCTTACTCCTAATTCTTCATGTAAAATTTATTGAATTGAGGTCTTTGAGATCTTCAAGGACGCCTCAATCTCGCGATATGTCACATGTCTATCTTCAACGATGAGCTTGCGCACAGCATCCACGTTTTCCTGTGTGACTGCCGTTTTTGGTGCACCCACCCTGGGATCGTCGCTAAGACTCACCCGTCCACGTTTGAATTCTCCATACCAACGGGAAATTGTCGACTGATGTGGCGCTTCGTTGCCGAAAACAGACAGTAACTCAGCAAGTCATTCTTGTTGCGATAATTGTCTCTGAAAGTTGTAATAAATTATGGCGCGAAAATGTTCTCGGTTGAGTTCCATTTTTCTAATGACTTGGTGACACGTAAAAATTCACTGTAGTGAAAACACTGCACGTATTGTTGTGAAACCTTGAATTTAAGTTTACTAAAGGGTGAGGTTAAGATTCAGTACTGACGTTGGATCCGCGCGGCCTACTATGTTTCTATATGCAAAACATAAAAGACATTCCTCGTAATTTTGTTTGGACCTAAAAACGCACGACTTAATTTTGTTCACAGTGCGAGCCGCGGCCTTGTGTGCTTGCGAACTGGCTCGACTGTGTAGTCTACTGACTCGCGCAGCAAAGTGTTGCTAAGCGATTGCGCTTGATATTTTTTGGTTATTGTGTTCGAATGCCATGTCGCCTGTGGTGTCATCACCCTTCAGAGATTTATAGGAAACTATGTCATCCACCATAAGGAAACTGTTTGGTGCGTTTAATTGGAATCATTTCCAAATTTTATTTTCCAATATGCGAAGAACAAAACCAAGGCTTTATGCTATCAGAGTGATCGGTGGAGCAACTGCATTAACTTTTTTATGTGTTGGTGGTTTAAGTAGAAATTTTTATCTAGTTCCAAGTGTGTCAGCTAAAAAAGGTAAACATGCAACTGAAATGAAACTAACTGCCACTGAAAAACGTTTCATCAAGTTTGCATCGACAGAGCATGATGGCCAACTTTACATGACACCACAAGATTTCTTAGAATCTGTTATACATAGAGAACCCAGACCAAGAATCCATAGGAAGATACTTTCTGATATGGAAATGCATCATATAAAAGATTACACACAAACTGTGGAAATGGGCTCAACAAGACTGTTCAGAGACATTCATCAACACGGCATTATTTCATACGTAGAGTATCTTTTTTTGCTGTCTATATTGTACAAAGCACACACGCGCTTTGAAATCGCTTTCAACGCTTTTGACAGAGACGGAAATGGGGTAGTGGATCTGAACGAATTTTGTATAATCGAAAAGATTTTTAGTGATACATGGAAAGAAAGAAAGGAGAAGGTGAAAGTAAAAGAAATAGAGGATGAAGACTCTGGAGAAATTGACGAAAATGAAGCATTGCATAAGGAACATAATGTCGCCACAACGCTTAAGCTACATTTCTTCGGACAGGATGGCACATCAGTTTTGAGCTTCGACAGTTTCAAAAAGTTCATGAGAGATTTGCAAACGGAATTGTTGGAAGTAGAGTTTCTTGAATTTTCTAGAGGTTTTGAATTTATATCTGAGATAGAATTCATGAGACTCATTCTGAGGTACTCTTTCCTTGATATTAACGAGTTTGATGAATATCTAGACGATCTTTTGGAGAGAATTCAGGAGCCCATAGGCATTACGTTCCGCGAATTCAAGGATTTTTGTGACTTTTTGAATTCCCTCGACGATTTTACTTATGCTATAGATTTTTACATGCCTGTGCGCAAAGGCATCCACACATTTGATTTTCAAAGAGCAGTGAAAGTGAGCACAGGAATTGATTTGAGCACACATTTAGTTCAAGCGGTATTCGCCATTTTTGCGTCTAAGGATGGACTGTTGGATTTTGATGATTTCATGGACATTGCAAGAGACAGACAGAAAAGAGTATTTCAGACACATAACAAAACGTATGGCTGGGAAGGATTTAAGGCTTGCGTGAGAGAAGAGGTTAATAGCAATTAGTTGAGATAAGGAACTATTTTTTAGATATGACAATCATTATATTCAGGGTGGGAGATAACTACTTGATTTTAACGCATACAAGATCACTTCTTATCATATTACCTTGTCAGTGGTTTTCTGATACTCAAGTTAAAATTATAATATTTACATTTGAGTACATTTTTGGTGGCGCAACACGAATATTGAATCTTGGTTTGTGGGATAATGAGAGTTTTGACAATTCAAGTACCTCATTACGTTAAGCTTAGCGTTCGCCTTTTTTGACATTGAACTCAATTTATACGAGATTAATACAAGTCAGGTTAACATTAACACCGAGTAGGCATAAATGTATGTTTGTGATATTTTTAATTTTTAAAACTCTCTATTATTGCAATTTTGAAATTAGTAAAGGTGAGAAGGTTGAATTATTTTTCAGACATTCCTGAATTACGATAGCTTTTCAAAAAGCCCCTCCCCTTGTTTTTTAAATGGTTCAGATTAGCATAAAAGTAGCAGTTGACAATTTCAAGATGGCCGTTAGAAAAATTTTTTAATGGAACTGGGATGTACGTTGTAGCCCATTTTGAAACTTCTTACGAGTGCTTAATAATCCTACCATATAAATTTACCATCTTTCAAAATGCCATATTGTCAAACTGACAAATGCGAACGTTTTTTTTTCAATAAATCTAATATAACTCATCAACTAGTCACTAAAACGCTATAGTATGTCATATCATTTTCCTTGCCCTATCTAAATGTTCAATAAAATATGAGACATTCATTATTAAAAGTAACATTTAATAAATTCAGAACGATCCAAATTTTATTGCATATTCGGATTGATCCTTACGAGAGAAGAAGATTAATATAACATGCTATATATAGTGTTTGATTATTAATAATTGAGTAAGAAGCGATTCAATGCACAAAAACGCTCAAACTTGATAGTCTGCCTGACCGACATTATTTACCAAAAATAACGGTAATATGGTATGTACTATGAATATGAAAGCGTATACAGATCAAGAATGGTAAACAAACAGGAACCCCACAGAAGCAAGCTTGTGAGTACAATTCACAAAAAAACTGTGTGCTTTGGATTAAACATAGATATACAGTTTTTTTATTTTCTAGTCCGTCACATTTTACTAAAATAACAGTCACTCAGGTATTCCACTATAAGATAGCTCACACACTTAAAAACAATTCGACGAAAATTGGTTCACAATATTGACCATAAAATGGCTAAGGTAAGGGTAAGGTAACTGGTTTGGTTTACAGTTTGCTAACTTGACTCGTTTAAAAAATAAGTGGGGAGGACACCTTTTGGAAAAGCTCTGTATGTTCATATGTTCAGGATATTGTTTTGAAGTAAGTAAATTTATCAAAGTAAAAACATAGGACGGTGTATATTGGATATGGAAACCGTTTCCCTTTTTCCTTGTATTTCTACAAAACTATTTTGTTTATCGCCATAGACACTATCAATGAAGTACTTTGATTGAATTATTGAACCATTGGAATTTGATGAAAGATTTAGGAGGTTACTTATGAAGTTTCGATAAATTTTTGTAGATGAACAAAACCAAAACTAATCCAAGATGGAAAGATAAACTGAAGCACCATAAGAAATAAGTATCCTGATGACTCGTTTGGAAAGTCTATGATTGTCATCGTTATATCCCACAAATAAACAAAAAGTTTTCAACCGTTTTTTGTTTTGACGATTCTTTTATTCAATGTTAGTTTTACTCTTATATAGATAAGAAATTACTTACTATTAATTGTATATGCAAATCACGAAAAGTCATGTCGCTCATTTACTTTAGGCCCGTATCGTCAGTCGTCCCTACAATTGTAGAGCGCCTTTATGGCCTCCTTGATTGTCATAGTTGTCTGCTTCTCCGTGTCAGAATTCTATTTTGAGGTTACGTCACAAACATCTATTTGCATCAAATTGTGCTTGCTTTTGAGTTATATCATGTTTTATCAGCATGAAATTTCCTACAATTTAAAAAGAAAACATATCTTCACAATAGGAGAGCGCTGACGCTGACACGGGACAAGTGTAATCTAGAAATTTTTGAAGGACAGAAAGGAGGATGACAATCAAGGAGGCCATAAACGCGCCCTACAATTGTAGGGATGACTGACGATACGGGCCTTAGTCTCTGTCTGTCCGCTACTCTTTTGCCTACCTATAACTTGGAAGTTACTCCCTGGATTCTGATGAAATTTTGACAAAAGGTTACTATTATGAGGAAAAGGTTTATCAAAAATCGCTCCAGTGTTGGCGGAGGTACGGCCGAAAATGGAAAAAAATCGTACAAACTTCATTTTCTGACGTTTCAGTCTCCTGATCATTATCCGAATAATGGTCATATTTTCAGAGAAAAATTGCGGTTCTAATAATTCGTAAAATTACATTATTTTATCTACTATTTCAAGCCCGCCCGTACCCAGTGCAACAGAAACCATTATAATAAGTTCGCCACCGCGTATGTCAACGCACTGAAGTCAAAAACTAACCAACAGATTTTTATATGGATTTCTTTAGTGGATAGAATAATTCATGAGGGAAGCCTGGGTGAATAGTAAGTTTTGTTCAAATTGGCTGAAACTCGGAATTGTTACCAATGCATAATAAAGGCGGGTTTACACCCTACGTCTTATTGTATGTTTTCTTGCGCATACAAAACGTACGTTTTGTCCAGTGTATACACACTACGCGTTTTCGCTTTCGTTTGCTATTGCAGTTCCAATCTAGACTCTTGAGTTGAGTGAAGTCTGTTTAGTGAATTTTTTTGAGACTTTTTTTATTATGGAGAAAACACGAATGCTTTCTTTCATTTTTTGAACTATAAAGATAAGGAAAAGGGATCGAGAGGGAAACGTACCCCGCAAAACTTACATGGTTCACAAAAAAATCGGCGAAACTATATGACTTACCATTATAAGATTAACGGATTTTCATTCAAGTTAGTCAATCGCAAATACATTTACAAAAATGTTTTCGATTATATACAGTGCTTGGGCAAACTACAAGCAATAACCCACTAGTTGCCAAGTGACTGCTTATTACGGAGGAGATCGAAATTCGATTTCTCATCAAAGTTTTTTTTTGATTTGCACTATTGGGCTTACGAAATTTATGCATATGTCCCTTTTTACACATAATCCAGGAGTCTCAATTTTGTATCCAAAGAAGTGTATATTTTTATTTTTCAATATTTGTAAGATCTGAAATAAAGTATGATGACATCAGTTACATCTTAATCTAATTCACTTGTGCATCACAGCAGCATGATACGCCAGTTAGGTTTCCCATGTCAGGGCAAGGCGGTAGTAGAATAGACGAACCTAAATGATTATATCGCAATATTATCAAATAGGTGAGGATTACTTGTATGGGCCTATTTGACCGACCATTTAATACCCTTTTGGTAGTTAGCTTTTTCTAAGAGTGGTCAGCTTGGCTACACATGATATTTTATGAGCTGTGTTACTTAGGATGTACAGAGCCAGCCTACTGACGCCATTGTTTAAAATTTATAACTTACATTCACGTTCATTTCACGATACGTTTTGATTTCCAAACTAGATTGTCATTAATGAGGTGTTTAAAACCTTTGTATAAATCCTGTGGGCATAATAAAACAGCAAATTAAGTGCATAATTTGAAAATATATTTACAGTTTTCACAAATTACAACAACACATACAATTTTTGTACTTAAAACTATAAAAACAATAACAGGCAAGAGATACAAACAGCCTAGCTTTTAAGACTTTCTTCACTGTTTTCTTTACACCAACTCGCAAATTATTCCGTATTTACGAAATCAGCTGTGATTTCAGGTTATTTCAGCTAGATTATTTGATAATTTTTGGCACAGTATTTATACTAATACTGCAAATAAAACAAAATTATGTTTCAAGAACGCCCGATGTAAACACTAATTTTAGTAAAATTGCACCGTTGGTATTTTTTACAGGGCAAGGATCTTAACACTTTTTAAGGTATACATTGTCGACCCTGTAAGTTTAAGGCTAATAGGTTCATATGGAGACAGACACTACCAGACCAATCAATAGAATATTATCGAACACATGACTAGAGGACAAGCGAATTTTGTTTACTCTGTGGAATTGTTCGCTAAGAATATAGCAAAAAATTGTATTTAAAGCATACTATCGTGTCGAAGAATAGATCAGGCTGTGAGTGGAATTGACTGTGCAAAATGTAAGGATCGCACTTTATGAGCAGATATCAACTGAGAAAAAAGAACAATAATACGGATCTTGCCGGGCCACATTTTGTTCGATATTTTTTATTCTCCTCTCCTCTTAAATCGTTATAAAAAAGTAGCTTGAGCGGTCTTAGGGGTCTTGTAGGGTGAGGTTTTGGCTTTAATTTAGATACTTGCGCACCTCAAAAATAATTATTTTTAACAGAGTTTTTAATCATTGAAGCTGAGCATTTGAGGGGGTTTTCAAACATTAAATGGTTTATACTCGGAGCTTTACTTTAGAGGAAAGTTACTAAGAACCTTCCTTATTCAGAATGATCCGAGAAATCGGAAGAAAATTGTCAGCCAAAAATGATTTTAGAGGGAAGGGGATTAAAAAAATATCGACCAAAAGGTGGCTGGACATGGACAAGATCCCGATTATTATACTTTGACCTCTTGTCAGTTGATATCTGTTCATGAAGTGCGGCCCTTATATCTAGCACACTCAATTCCATGCGGCGTCCGCTCTAAGAATCTTTCTTTCAATACATTATTACGATGATAAAGTCCAGAGTACCATTCTAATGCTTGTCTCAAAGTCAGATATACTAACGAAAATGTAACGTCATTGAAAATGAACTATATTGTATAGGATATATTCCGGTAACGTTGAGTTTATAGAATCACCATCACTTCTTCACCGAGAAACTCACGATTATAATCTGCTGTTTTATCTTGTTAGGAATTACTTCTCTCGTGATTGAATTCCATAGTGCTTCTAGTGATTTGCGAGTGACAAAGTAATGGGACATTTCTATAAACCCACCATTGCAATATTATTATTTACAATGTAATGCAATTGACTGGTCTATAGTTCTACACTTGACGCTCTAAGATAAAGAATGTTTCAAAGGACACTGCAAATTTTATTCAGCTAATTTTGAAGAAGCTCAGAAATCATCATCCTGATGATGTTTTTGAAGTCATGTGGTGCCACACATATTCCATTGTAAGAAAATGGATCCGAGTAGCTTGACTCAGTAATTTTCCCCATAGCGCGAATATAAAGTGGGTAAAAAAATTGTTGGCACACTATTTTTTTTCATAATATAAGAACAATAATAGGAATTACGAAATTCATGGGTCAAAAAAATATTGGTATACTAAAGAAACAAAGAAGTAAATAAATGTTAAAAAAGGTTTTTACAGTTAGTACTTTGTTTGACATTTGCGCAATAACTCAAACAGGCACTTGCAGGGCCTGAAAGCAAAAAATAAAATGTCTGACAAACTAATACTCCTTATACAGGAATGCGGTCTAATTGGACCAGAAATAATAAAGAATTTCCATGCCACGATGGCTTCAGGTCATCATGGATGTAAAGGGTATGACAACAAAGTACTAACTGTAAATAAATTTTGTTAATGCTTCTTTAGTCGGTTGTTATTTCAGTGTGCCAATATTTTTTTCACCATTGAATTTTATAATTCCTATTATTGTTTTTAAATTATTTCTAATTTGCTCAATCTATGCTATCAAAAATTACTATTTGGATGTTAGTTTTCAAATAATTCATCTTTTCTCAATTGAGATTCAAGGAGGTCATTGACCGCGCTTGACGAACAATACATTAAAGATCCCACAACTTTCTCATGGTCATTCAAATTTTCTCAGAATCCAAAATTATTTACGCGCAACCGCATATGGTTCAAAAAGCGATTTTAGAATAAAATTTTAATCCCATAAAATTTCTGGCTCAATAAAAATTTCAGGAAGATCGAACTAAAAACACCAATAACATTTTCAAAACCTTTACTAGTATGTTCTAATAAATTTTGCGACTGTCCATTGAGAGAAATTAAAGAATATGTACAAAGCCTAAACTAGCGTTTTATCACAAATTCACTTGCTTCCACTTGGAATTATTATTAGAATCACAATACATTTAAAGAAGCGAACTAAAAAATAACAAATAAATGCGATACATACGATAATCATTCACTGTGAGAAATTCAATAATCATCATCTTTGAAGTACACCAACCCATTTACACGTGTTAACATCAAATGAATGTATATTTCACTCTAATATTAGCTTTGTAAGCTGTTATAATTAAATATGTTTTGTAAAATATCACAATTACTGCTCTATGATTCATTTTGAATAATTGGCTAACTTATCGAACAGCATATCACACCAGAACCATTTCGGAATGGACAGTTTGGTATGACGAGCTGTACAAAAAGTTCATGCTGAATATACAAATAACTACAAAATTAATGTGTATATAAATAAGAGTTAACTAATTAATATTCACTGTAAGTTGCTCAGTAACATTTTGGAACATACGATACGGTTTTAAATCATTTCACGCAGACATTGCAGTGTGATTCATTCAATTTGGATAGATATAGATGATGGCAGTTTTGTAAAAAAAAAATAGGAATAGTAGTATGATGTATCCATAGATGTCTTGAAATGCAGATACAATGCAGAAATTCGGTACACATCTGTTATGTGTTAAGGTGGGTTTTCTCATGTACAAACACTTTTATTATTTCCAACAGTAGCGTCCGTACGAGTCTTGTAATGAACATCTTTGGAGAAAAAATGGTGCACCACTGTCTTTTATTTAAACTAAAATTATTTTTGAAATCCTTATTCATTTCCGAGCAAATTTGATCTCTTGATTTTCGCTTTAAAAAATAAAAATGTTATTTCAGAGTCAAATCGCTAAAAATCTCATGCGGTCACTGCTTTGCGGAAATGATCACATTTGTCCAAAATTGAATGAGAATTCTTAAAAATATTTTTTCTTGTCGAAGGTATGTATAACCACTGCATTGGATTTTTAGTGATTTGACCTTGAGGTAAAACGGTTTTTATTTTTGTAAGCGAAAACCATAAGTCAGACGAAAAAAAATTAACATTGTCTAAATTTGCTCAGAATTAAGATTTCAAAAATGGTTTTTATTTAAAGAGAAAAAAGTGGCGTACCATTTTTCGCCAAATATATTCAAATCAGAACCCGCACGGACACCACTGGTAGAAATAATAAAATTGCGCCTACATCAGAAAACTCATTTTAATGCATACAAGATTTTATAAAGATATCTACAATAGTATCAGCGTTATTATAAAATACAGATTTTTTTCTGAATACTTTACCGCACTATATACCCCAAAAGTTAAGACGTAGGACATATGTTCATACGTACTTTTTTCTTTCTTAAAATAAGTCCAGAAATCACTTCCTTAAATTCCTTTATAAAAAGAGTAATTAAGCATGAATCCAAAAATTCTTATATTTTGTCAAAGTTTACCCGTCAAAAATAAATCATCCGTGCTGCAGCATTTCCCTATGCTACTTAAAATTTCCTTTGCATGAGTGAAATGCAGGTCAATTACACTGTACGAAACTTTTCCCCAACTTTTCAGGTTATCGTCAAAAACATAATCTTTCCTTTAAATAATACATCCATTAAATCATTCAGTAGTACATAGTACCAAAAATTTATTTTACACAGCATCGTGTAAAAATTGTAGCTATTCAAATTAATCGGTTTATTCAATATACACATTTAATAAATATATACATTAGCACTACTTGGGGGTTCCAAAACATTTCTGTGCAATCAGTTGCTGCTACGGTAAGTGCCTTGACGTCCTTAAAAAATGCACATTTCTATTGCACATTCAGTACATGAATCAGTCTGTTTGTTTCAGGGTCATATTTGATGGACGATTCAAGCTTGCACATACCAAGTTTATTGACTTCACGGGTTGAAAACAGTCTTAGGGTTTAGACATTGGAAGGACCCTGAAAAAAACATTGAAAATGGGTCGCAGTCGATTTGTCTAAGAATTTAGTGTGATATATATATATTTAAACAATCCTACGATTAGCTTCTGAGAAATGGGGAAAGAAAGTTTGCTCGATTTGCTGTTTGTAGTTCTTCGACCAAATACTTAGAGAATTGATATATTGAAATAAGGTTATTTAAACACATTTTAGGAAGATTGTTGCGATTTTTCGTATAGAGATGGACCTGTTTGTTGGTGAGTGCCACAACATCTCCACAATGGGGTTGGTCGTGATCTCAGGTGTTGTAAGGTGTCATGTTGGGCTTGGCCATGGTCCCTACAAGGTCAATTAAATGGCAACCTGATTTTTATCCATTGACACTGAAATGGATCTGGCTCAAATCGAAAATCACTCAAGAGTGTTCTTCACAAGGGCACGAAAAAGGTGTGGTTATTTAGTTGCCTTTTGATTATGACTTTTGCAAGATCAATTCAAGGTCAAGTTAATTTTGAAGACTTAAGAGAAAGAAAATGCGCACTAATATGAACATAGATTTGGGGTATTGACATTATTGATTATTAATTTGAGTTTTTTGTGTTGGTTTGCTTCCGGCATATCGAACAGTTTGGGTCAACTTTTTCAAAAGATAACAAGCTTCCGTGGAAGCGTATAAAAAAACAGGTGTAAATAAGTAACTCCTCGTAATTTTCATAAATTTGCCAGTAAGATACTCATAATCGACCCCTTATTGGGTTTTTAAAACATGAGTGAATTCCTTGTGGGATACCTTCTATTTGATGTAACGCTAACCCGACGTTTGACTCTTGCGCTTTGCCAACAGCTGAAGCGCTAATGCAGAATTAGCACTCCCATAAATAATAATTGGAGGATGGTATCTATTAATAGCACCAGCTATTTTATGAAGGTATCATGCTGCATTTGAATGGGTTTCTTGAGGCAACTTAATATCGATTTTGTAGGCACATTTACAATTTTCAACCTCATCCACCTATTTCTCAGAAGCTGATTTGGTTCCATAAGCACTTTTGTCCGGGAAGGTGATAAATATACTGAATTTTTAGACACATCGACTGGGTCCCATTTTCCATATGTTCTGTGCAGGGTCCTTTATATTTGGCCTTTTGATCCGGAATCATACAAATATTTTGGATTAATAACTTGAATCGTCCAACACATACCAACGTTGGAGCATTTCTATTGATGAGGATATCAGAAGATGTAGATTACTGAACTAACAAAAGGAAACAGCACACAATTAATGAAGTTGGGCAGATGATAGTTTACAAGACCGACTGCATTGGTTTGTCCTGTTAAGCATAACATCTACATTGAAAAGACTCAGGCCCATAAACGCCAAGACACACATCAGGCAATTACAACTGTTAACTATATCCTCTTTCCAGTTATCTACTTATCTTTCTTTATCAGTTATCCAATCTACCGGAAATGCTCCTTAGTTATGCTAAGGCACTTGCAAAAGCACTTTACACGTGCGACTCTAGCGGTACTTTGAACACCGTACTCTCGGGGAAGCTCTGCGGCCTAGCGCCAATCAGATGCTGTCTTAGTGCCACCACCATGTTCTCTGGACCAATCAGATTGATCTCGAACAGGAATCGATCCCGTCTGGTCGAACTCAAGTCCGGCGAGCTGGTACGCAGGTTCTTCTCTTTTTCCGATTCTGCCGTGGCTTCCTCTTGGTTTTTATTGTCCATGAGCCACGTGACCTTGTCGGGGTCCTTGGTTCCTCCTACAGTGTGTCTGCGCTTGATGGACCGATCAGGCATGCCGTTCTTCCTCTTGTTCTTGGTGGAGTCCTTGAATCTGGAACAAAACGAATGAATTGGGATCGATACTCCCGACCGAACTTGGAATAGTTCCGCGTCTAAGAATAGGCTACTTGATTCATATCAAATTTCATAGAATAAATGGGTATTTGTTATAATATTTGGCTTAGGAAAACGAAATATATCGATTTAAATTTTAAAAGCGCAAGATAACATCAATTTAAAAAAAATATTTTCAATATGAAACGCTAAAAACGTTATCTGCCACGATGTGACGTCATATAGAAATTGTAAACAAAGAAACGTCAAGCGTATGACTAACTTTTGTATTCTTTAAACACTTTTAAAACATTTCTAATCAACGTACAAAGTAATCGTTTTCTCGTTTTATTGACGTTGGAGGCAGAAACCTCAAATTTGCCGAAAATTCACACATTGATGGTTGGTAATTGCCTTATACCCAGCTTTCTGGTCTGCTGAGCTGTGGAACATCAACACTTCTATGTAAGCACGATGCATCTGATATAATGACAGCACAAAAAAGAATAAGTAATACATATACATAATCTTCCTTTTCAGAAGTCATTCAAAACTAAGCTCACGCGTTATAACCACTGAATAATTTCATCTGATATTGTATTTCTTGTTGCACATCTCCAAGGGAATCATAGGGTGATATATCCCGAAACAAAACACAATGTTGCTTATATTATCTATTTTTCTGGGCACTCCAATCCACAGCATTCCTGGGGTCTTTATCGATGTGTTTCTACATTCTCGGACGATACAATAACGATAGTTACTATATTTTCCATGTAAACTTTTTAGAAGAAGTCATGTTTACATGTGTAAAAGTTTAAGAGGTTATGCTGCCGTGTTTATAAACGGCATGACGTCAGAACACATAATATGGGCGAAACATGGCGGACACCGTTTACGCCTATGTAAAAAAATATATATTTTTTTAAATTATAGTTTTACGGTCTTTTAGGTCTGAAAAAATATATAGATAAGTTTTTTTGTTTAATAAAATTAACTATTTAACACCTAGTCAATAAAAGTGTCAACTAGCCTTTTCATCCGGGTTCTTTGGATAATTGTGTTTATTGTTTTCTACGTAAGTACTGCAGGCAGTAAGACACTTCGGTGTTCATATAGCTAACTCAGCTACAGCGCTTTCTATGAGACACCAACATTGTTTAAGTAATTCTTTATTATTGTGGAGAGGAGAAACAATAAATGTGTCAGATTCTCATAGATGATGCTAAGTTATATTATTTTATCTCGAATAAGTTTTTGGTTGGTTATCTTCAGGTAGCGACTTCCAGATGCGATATCATTCTTCGTACAAAGCTCATAAGTTTTAAAAGCATCGAGATGGAAAAGTCAGTTATTATATTGGTTACCCCGTATAAATAGTAAAAGAGATGTGATTACGAACCTCTTGTTCGACATGGCCAGTTCCCGCCTCTTGTTTATATTGCTTTCCGTCTTCTCGGTCTTGGACAAACTATCCGATCTCTTGAGCTTCTCTCCGGACTTGTTCAAACTCTCCGATCGCTTCAGTTTACTGTTCATGGGTGACGTCCTCTCAGGCTTGTTCAGGCTCTCTGACCTTCTCAGCTGTTTCGAACCGGCCGCGCTCTGAGAGTTCAACTTATTGCTGCCCATTACTGACAGCTTCGTGATATGCCTATCATTATCAGGTACGTCATCTGCTTCCTCTTTTTCTTTCTCCGATGAATCTTTCTCCTCCTTTTTGTACGGTGGCTTCGTTTGGTTCTTATGTAGGCTGGGGTTTCTGTAGAGCTCCGCCACCTGCGGGATGTTCTCCTTATCCGAATGGGACTTCTTTGGGGGTAATTTTTCGGGGGATTCGTCCACGTACGGGATGTCGTCGGTGGCGATAGTTGAGTGGGAATGTTTTTCTTTTAGTTTCTCGTCGAACAGCTTCGTCATCGTGCTCAACAGAGGTTCTGGAAATATAAGATATGGGTCACACATAGCGATTTATTGTCAGTAATTTTAACACGTCTCTTGTAAACAGCTTTATCAAGTTTCGGTTTTTGACTTTTCGAGCACTTGTCAAAATGTGAAAAAGGAAATACACATAATTTGGTACAAGTCGATTTCTTGATGCGCCGTTTGTTTCAATATGAAGAGCTAGAAATACATCCAATCGAAGAGAGTACATTCACAATAAAGTAGAATAATATCTAAAATATACTACATTGACGTTACGGGCAAAAGCGTGAAATCGGACAAGGACTTGACTTATTGGCCGGTCAATGATGAGAATGTCAATCCATGTTGGCAATATTTATAAAAATATAATTCAAGAGCGATGTTGGTATTATTGGCCGAAAGATGATGGGAGAGTGCATTGTAAGGTTTTGATATACGTTAGATTATACACAATGTCTGGTTATGTTTTTGTACTGCTTACATACACGTAGTTAAGTACATAAATACCAAGGTTGCTAGTTGCTCAGAGGAGCAAAGCACACTGGTGTAGCGGTAAACAAGAGCATCGATCAGCCGGGCATCCCTCCCCCGAATGGCATCGAGCATGGATAATGTAATAGGGGCGGCAGTACTCCAAACATGTGAGCAGTATTCGAGGCTATATTTTATGTGGGCCTTGTACAGAGTGGGGAGATCATGTGGAGAAAGGTGCTTCTTAGCACTAAACAACTGGTCTAGTGTTTTCCAGCAGCTGCCTCTGTTGACCAGATGTATTCGTGCCAGATCAAGTCCGCCGACCAGCCGAAATGAACGGACCTTTGGTAGACGTCGGCCATTCATCAAAACAGGATGAGCGCCACGACGCTTCTTGTTAGTCAAGGTACGGTACTGTGTTTTGGAAGCATTAAACTATACCAGATTTTTGCGACCCCTAAGCAGTGATATCCTCCAGGTATCTCGTCAGAGAGGAAGCCGCCGCTCTTATTTTCTCCAGCTCACCGGCAGAGATCGGCTTGTCTCTCTGAATTCCTACATGTAGAGTACTGTTATCGTCAAAGCTGTGGATCGGGTTTATCGTGCACGAGAGGGGATTGCTACCAATGTTATTAGTATTTTGTTTGTCTTCACATCAGTCTCCAGCCGTTCTTGACAATCTTTTTAATTGCTATACAGAACCGTTAAAATGAGAACATTGACAACATTGCCCGCTCGTATTGGGCATTCACATCAATACTCGGCCATCAACATTAATGTTCAATTATCGTATCTGCCCATCGAATAGATATTTATTGGCGTAATGCATTGATAAAAATACGGTTTTTGTATCAGTGTTTTATGTCTTCCAAACGTCATTTCTGATACAAACATTTTCAATCAACTAAGTGCTTCAATTTTGTATACGTTGTGAAATATTCACACTGATATTAGGAAAAAGCTAATTAATATAAACATCAGTTAGCCAGGAAATAGGTAATTTTTATCTACAATTTTGGTGACAGTTGATTTTTTTGGTATTATCGTTAGATTATTGCTCTCTAATGATAAGCTCAAATTGGCAACATGATAGTGTTGGAGCATTTGCCGCCATTTTGGAAAACGCTTTTAATCGAAAATCTCGAAAATCATCGATGCTATGGAAAAAAAGGAATAAAAACAATTTTGTAGGGAATTAAATTCTTTACCGTTTTGTCGTATTGTCAACAGGTTGCGAGAAATTTAAGGGTAAAGGTATTTATAATAATGCTTGCGCTTATAATGACTAACCTTTTTGTAGAGAATAAAATTTTAAAAGTTCTTTACGTTTTTTCGACAACTTGGGTTCTTCAAGTATAAGGAGCGAACGTCAAAAATTGGTATAAGACAGTCGCGCAGCATACGCCGCTCCCCACGTGAAGATAACTCCATAAATCATTATCTATGATCAATAATTTCATTTATAGTGAACCCGTTTTTTTTACTGCGACGCGTAAGTATGAAAAATTAATATTTTCGGATATTTTATGGTGTCTTTATCATGAAACTGCAAGCCACTCATTCCATCACTCTGTCTATTGGCCATTTTGTCACTGCGCGGCCTCAGAGACTATTGCAACGATTTTAATGTAAAGGGAGTGATGCCAGAAACCAGCATCATATACTACATCTCTTCTTTCATTAAAATTTCTGCAATGGTTATTTTGAAATTACATAGTGCCAAAATCGACAATAGAGAGACTAATGGGAGTGAGTGAATTGATAATGGAAATATAACAAAATTTAATAAACATTTTCCGTAGTTGCACGTGGTCGTAAAAATGTACTTTAAAATGGCATTCTTGATCATAGATAATGATTATGAAGTTATTACCATGTGAAATGATGTTGTATGTGGATTGCGTAGACAACCTACGTAGCGTGCGTAGTATGTCGCATGACTCTTCTGATTCGAATTTTCAATTTGCGCTCCTTATTCCACGAACCAAATTATCGAAAGAATATAGATGACCTTATTTCTGGTAAATTTTATTATCAAAAAATAGTATGGTTTTATACTCTTAGATTCTTAGTTTATAGGTAGAAATATTATTACATCTACCTTAAACCTTTAATTTCTCGTAACCCGTTGACCATACGTCAGACTTATGAAAGCAAAATGATGAAGAATTTAATTCCATATAAGATTACCTCTACGAGAAAATAACATTCAGAAAAGACATCCATTCCGTAAATATTCGTTCGAAACAAAACATTACCGCTCCATTCCACAGAACTAAATTTTATGAAAGATCATTTACGTATAATATATATAAGCTATACAATCCTATCCTCCAGTACCTCAAATCATATGAAATTCACAAGTTCAAAGCGGTTTTGCGTGATTCTTACCTTGAATGTATAAAGTAGAATTATTCTTACTGCGGAATTTCAATTTTATTTTGTTTGCATTCCATTATTTTATTTACTTTTTTTTTTTCATATGATGCATAAATGTACGTATATGTATTTGTATATCATTCTAGACTTTTACATTTACAACCACGTTTTCTCTTTGCTCTTTTTTTAAACTTAATTGTCGCTCATATTGGCGTTTGTTTATGCGGTATGTATGGGTATATATGTATATATGGATATATATATATATATATATGTATATATGTGTATATATATTATTCTAGACTTTCTTTTTTTTTAAATCTATTACCACATGTCTCACTTTTCTATCTATTTTTTTTTTAAACTTACATGCTGTTCATATTGATGTTTTTATATGGTTGATGGATGTATTTACTGGCATAATGTTTCTTACAATTCCAAGGGATGAGTGGAAGAGCACTAGATAGTGAACTCCCCCTTGTGGTTTTCAGACAGTCGACATTTGTTTTATTTTTTTTTATATTTTCCTTTTTTTTTGGTTAATACTCATGTTTCTCTTTCTGATTTTTTTTTTGAAAACTGTTTGGAAATAAAGGCATTTATTATTATTATTATTATTGTTCCTATCACTTTTTTACACAGGATAGATGGTTTTCAAGATTTTCGATCAAACGCGTTCATCAAAATGGCAGCAAGTGCTCCAGCAATATCATGACGCCAATTGGAACTTATCGTTAGCAATAACGAAACCACCAAACAAATTTACTTTCGCCCAAATTATAGGATTTTCATATACAAAAATCTTCCTATTCCTTGGCCTAAAACTAAATGTTAGCTAGAATATCAATTGTGAGTATTTTCGAGCAAAAGATCAAAATAAACAATCTGGCTGCTATATTTTCACACAGATGTTTGTATATCACAATGTAGCGTTCCATTGAAGCAGTTGCAAATTAAAATATTAATAGAAGCTGCAATATAAAACAACATGTTAACTGTAAGCGCGCAGATGATAACTAAGCATTTCGGCAGCACATCATTCTACCTTATCGACTGTTATATTCTGTTGTTGTACATATGTCTGGTTCTAGGTGGTCTCTGTGGAGGAATGTTCGGGGGTCTCACCGGCCTCCACCCTCTTAAAGGGGGCGAAGGACCACTACGTCCTAATTTACAATGGAAAATATAAGTGATAAATTATTTTCGAAATTCAGAATCATGTAGTGTACTTGGTGACACTGTTTCACTCAGATCAAAATTGGAGTTTTAACCTCCAAATAAAAAATAAAAATATATGTGAGGCGTTTAGCTATATTCAGTATCAGTATTTTGTATCACACCTACAAGAAGTTAGGAAGTTACAAATAACATATTTTAGTTTATCGAGTGTTGAGAATATAGTACTGCCAAGCAACTACTACATTGAGATTACTTTTCTAAGTGGCATTGATCCTAGGAATATTTGTAGTATGTGTATGAAACTTACCATCTTCATTCACGAGTTTGTTCAGAGAATCCAGTGAGCCCGACCTTTGGCCTTCATTCTACGAAAAAGAATTAGAGTGATTAGCAGGAGGAAAGAGCACAAATTGGGCAAATTTGATATGAGACTTCAAACTCTTCCAGATAAAATATACCTCAATATTCAATGTCGTATACGGGTACGTCATCTTCATTTCATCCCAAGAGCAAATTGTCGTTTTGCCATTTTAATCTCCCTACCTGAACAGTTCAAAAACTCCTCATCCTAAAAAAAGATTTTAAACAACAGTTGTAGGGTTTTGAGATGACACAATGGTGGTGACGTTGTGTGAAGTGAATATTTTTAAATAGAAGCCCACCTGTTTCACATCGAAATTGAAAAGAGAAGTAAATTTTACATCCAAATCATGACATTCATCGTGGCCATTTCATGCCATAATCAAGACGTTGAAAATAATTTGCTTTAGCACAAATATTCGACACTGCAGTTGTGAGGTTTTTGGAGATTGCCCAAAGTTGACCTTCACCATGACCAATTCAATATTTCCAAAGGAAAACTCTCATATTTATAACGGAAAATTTCCTGCTTTTTCCGTTTCCAGTATCAAAATGAGTGGTTGTCTTTGAAAATTTTAACTTGACCTTGAGATCTTTGTCAACTTTGAGTGATTCACACAAACCTCACACCTGTGCTGTCGGCCATTAATTTGTGCTATAGCGGTTTTTGATATTTTGACTTTGCTCTGAAATGACCTTGAATGCAACGATCAAGGTCATGGCTAAGGTGGTCGAACGAAAAGTGTGCTTCTCTTTTCAATTCCAATGTGAAAAAAGGGGGTTCTATTACTTGACAATATTCACTTGAACTTGAAATGACCTCAAAGATCGAAGTCAATATCATTGACATGGTCACCATAATTTTGCCCAACCCAAACCCTGCACCTTTTGTTTGGAACTTTTTTCTGGAATGCACAGTTTTTGAAATATTTAGGAAGTGTATTAAAATGAGTCTAACCTTTTTTGTGAAAACTCACCTCATTTTCATACTTGACCTTCTTCATTCCTCCGTTGCCGCTTTCGCTATTTCCCGCGTTGACATTTTCCATCGAACTACCCCTTCGTACATTGCACCTTTCTATCCTGACGATGTCATCGGCATTGCCATTTTTCATACATTCCTTGATCACGCTTCCAGACGTCGTCGTCGAATACCTGGAAAAAATTATCGAACAATAAAGATCTCTGATCACTCTATATTAATTATATATATATATATATATATATATACCCGAACCACAGCCGTCCCGACCCGAAGGTCAGAATAAATTTATTTATTTGATAAACGATTAAAACCCTTGTTACAAATACAAAACAGTCTTGATGAAAAGAATAGCATTGTAATGTTAATTAACACTTTGCTTTGCTTTGCTAAGTTCCAAATAAAAAATTCTAAAATGGATATACATCTACTATCTACCTAAAATGACGAGTTATGGGTTCATCGAAACCATAACTGGTTTGAAGAAAGGGGACTAAGAAAGCACTAGTATATCGCGTTCTGTTATCCAGTGAAATTTTTTCTAACAATTGGGGACAATCTATGTGATACATTTGTGCAACAAAAGTAAGTCAAATTTCAACCTTCGTCGCTCAAAAGAAGTCACATTCATGTAGAGAAGATTATCACTACAACTAATGGAACCCATTTTATATCCACATGTCTACACGTCTACCAGATATCGTTCTCAAGAACTGGGCATTCGTCACACGTCATTATGCACTATTTTAAAAAAAGACTTGCATCTGCGGCCATTCAAAATTCAGTTAACAAAAAATCTACAGACTAATGAACATGAAAGTCGCCGACAATACAGTGATGCAATATTGCAGCTCAATATCCAAAATAACGAGTTTTACCGACAACTGATAATGAGCGATGAAGCCCACTTCGATATGAACGGATTTGTTAATAAGCAGAATTGTCGTATCTGGGCATTAGAAACAACGACCACTATATCCTCGTCACAGTTTGGGCGCTGCAGGTAATTTTCTTACTGTCACTGGCGAGCGCTACCGTGATATGGTGCAAAACTTTCTGGCTCATCAAATCCAACAATTCAAATGCAAAACAAGTGGTTCCAGCAGGACGGAGCAGCTTGTCACACAACTATTGAAAGAATGAATCTTTTGCGAACAATATTTCCGGGATGTTTAATTACTCGATTTGGTAATGTTAGCTGGCCACCAAGGTCACCGAATTTAACGGCTCCTGACTTTTTTATGAGAAATAGGGTTTATTTCAACAAACCAAATACTGTAGAGTAGTTGAAGAACAATATTACGGAAGCGATTGAAAATATTCCTCCATAAACCTACCAAAAAGTGACGGAAAATGTAATCGAAAAGCGCGGCTTCCAGAGACGGACATTTGTCTGATATTATTTTCATAAATAATTTCAAGTTTCAATAAAATATTAAGATGAAAAAAATGGACGTATTTTATTTCATTTCAGAAGTATTCAATCTATAAACCAGTCAGTTACATATCGGCCACCCTGTTTAAGTAATAGGAGAACGAGACCGGATTGCGCACTAAACGCAAAAGAGCATTAATAAATATATTATATAACATCGGATCTAAGTGGGAACCCTGCGGGACTCCAAAAGTTACACGAATACTTCGAGATGTACACCCACCATCTGAGATCTATCAGATAAGGAACTCCAATTCAAGAGCTGATCCCGAACAGCATAGTTGTAAAGTTTGAATGGTTAACCATATAGAACACTTTAGAAAAATGCAAATAAGTATAGTTAAATTGAATTGCACAAACAGTTACTGTATGACATCGAGTTGGTACAACTTGACTTACCCTGGCGAAGATCGTGCTATTGATCGACAATAATTTAACATAGTAATGAAGGAACGATTTTGTCTTGCAAGAAAATGAATTTAAAACTAAATCAGATCATGTCGCTGAACCACGCTGAGTAGAATCTTTCCACTTCTTAATAACGAGCAAATGACTATTTTTTCTTTATATTTACCTTCCGTTGAAGGTACTGCCATCCATTGAATTTCGCGTGTGCTGTTGTTGATCCGAGGTACTTGAGGAAGTCCTCGAGAAGACATTGCAAGCACTGTGTGTTTTCGTGAGGACGTGCATCGCTTCACCATTGTTTGAGGTCGCTTTCAGAGACAGTCGCGATGACGGGTTATGGTGGACGTTGCCTGCCGATGAGCTTAGTTGGCCTATCGTCCTGGAATCTGCAACAAAAAATATGTTTAATACACAACACACAAAACATGTTTCTAAGTTTTGATTTTTTTCCAAGTGCGCTTATGTGAACGATTTTTTGTCCCTTAAAAGTAATCAGACACCCGAAGAATAGGGCATTCATTCAATCATCACCAATTGGCATTAAAATGTGTCCAAACTCGATAGACATCAAGTCTGGACATATAGAAAGAATTGTCAATTTTCAAAAATTGTAGTGTCCCAATCCTGCGAGGGTGCAGTATTGCATCTAGACAAGTTTTCAAAGCAAACTATTTATGGACATGGATATATAGTATCTGCAGACATATTTCTAAAATATTCATAATTTTGACTCACATATCAATGCTGATGTTTTTTTAGATAAAGTACCCAATAGCTCAACAATTAATTATTTATCAAAGACCATAAGTATGTTTCTCAAAATGTTTATTCGCCATGTAACATGAAACTCAACCAACATAAATGTAAAATCATAAGTTTTGTTCCAATCGTGTGTTCGGCTCTCGTTTGGTGCGCTTTTGTACGCATACGCCGAACTCACCGTTAAAAAAATCATCCTGTTCGAACACGTCTTCTTAAGCGAGTGATCGACTCAGAACAGTTCTTCAACGGGTTGGTACAAAACTATGTTCTTGATTCTTTTATATAATTATTTAGAATCTCACCAATATCGTTAACGGATATTTCAGTTTTCCTAGGTAACTGCAACATGGCCTCTGTCTCCTGTTTGAAGTTTTGTATCCTTCTGTGGAATTCGTCTTTGTCCGTGGAGTAATTGAACCAAGGCACTTTTTCAGTCTGTTGTTGCTGTTTTGTCTTCTTTTCTTCTTCCATACACGCGTTTGAGGACTCTACACTTGATTTTCCATCTGTGGTCGAGATCTACAGATACATTAATCAAAGGATCAGTAATCGCAACAGAGGAAAATACACGAAGCCAATAAGCAAAAGGTTGTGGCATTGTAGATAACATTCTCCCCGTGCCGTACCGGGGAAAATTGGCAACCACGCAGAGCAGTTAGTAGTAGCTTATAAAAATCGTAACAAGGCTTTGTGCTCCAGACTTCATTGTCAAATGAATTTGGAATAATATGCAAAAAATCGTCAGTAAGCTATGATTTCTAATATTTTTTTTTAGAATCTTTGAATTATACGTGGTGTGCCAATTAAATTCCGGTCTGGCGATACTGCGTCAAGTGTCAACTTGGCAAAAGCCCTCCTTTTGAGTTACAGTCCAAAACTGACGTCGATTGTACGTGTGGTTTGAACTTTGTGGGTGTTTTTTGAAGGAATGCTTTTGAATGGCGTCGTAAAAATGAGTGACTCACATTACAAGCAACGTGTTGTGGTCCAATTTTTTTGAAATCTGTCGAAAAACCCTCGGAAAACTTCCGAAAATTGCAGGTGGTGTGTGAAGACAAGTGTATGTCGAAAACACGCGTATCTGAATGGGCAAAACGGTTCAAAGAGGGACGTGAATCAGTAGAAGATGATCCACGTGAAGGGGCTGACCTCTCATACCGACGCAAATGTCGACCGTATGCGCGCTCTGATAACATCTGACCGGCGCCTATAAACGACGAGCTAAATATAAACAAAGAAATCATCCGCCAAATGTCACACGAGAATTTGAACATGCGAAAGGTTTGAGCAAATGAGGTTCCAAAAGTTCTCACCCATGAACAAAAGCAAATGTGAAAATCGATTCGCGACGATTTGTGTTCCGCATTCAGCGCGACGGCAGAGATTGGATGAGAAAGGTAATTACTGGAGATAAGACCTGGATATTTAAGAATGATCCCGAGACTCGTAAACAGAGTCAGCAGCCGGTAGAAAAGGGCGGGGAGCGTCCAACAAAAGCGAAGATGTCCAAGTCGAAACTAAAGGCAATGTTGATTACCTTTTTTGATATACGCGGCATCGTGCACCGTGAATATGTTCCTGCCGGTCAAACAGTGAAAGGAAAGTTTTATGTTAGCGTGCTGGAGCGGCTGCGAGCACGTGTGCGACTCGAACTCGCCAGAAAAAGTTTGATCTTGTACCACGACAACGCACCACCAGCCCATTCCTCGTTGACTGTGCAAGATTTTTTGGCAAGAACGGGCATTCCAACGTTGCCCATCCACCCTATAGCCCCGATATTGCCCCCTGCGAATTCTTCTTATTCCCTAAGATGAAGTCATACCACATCATGGAGGCATAGAGGAGGTGAAAGCAGCTGTAACGAAGGTGCTGAACTTCAGAGGATTACCATGGCTGTTTTGAATTGTGGGAGCAGTGAGAAATTTGATTTGTTTGTATTGACAAATTCCCGGAATTTAATTGGCACATTACGTACAATAAAAATTTATTTTTTTTTGCCAAACTCTCATATTTTTTGAGCTAAAGAAACCGCAAATATTTCATAGTAGGAAGACCTACGAGCTTTATGGATTGACATAGATAATAATGAAATCGAGATTTTTACTCACGTCTTTGAGATCACTGGTTGAGAACGGCTGTGGTGCTTTCAGACTTGTGGGTGATGTGGGTTCATCTTTGGATTCTTGACTCGACTTCTGCGGTTTCCGTTTCACTTTTCGCTGGGCCGCCGAAATTATCGAGGAAAACAGAGCACCATTCTTTTCTTTCTGGTCCTTTAAAGCTGTTAGATGAAAATGAAATTAAAAGTTAAATGCCGATACACGTTGTTATAAACGAAACATTGGTCCCAGCTCCAATTTAATGAAGGTATGTACAGTCTGCAAAATTCAAACTAGCTTAACAATCGCTTTAAATTGATTAAATACTAGGGGTCTTGTAGGGGAGGTTATAGCTTTAATTTGGATGCTTGATTACTGCAAGAATAATAATTTTTAACACATTTTTTGAGAATTGAAGTTGAAGGTTTTTCACACATTAAATCGCTTATAGCTCGAAAACGACTTTCGAGAAAAGTTACTAGAGGCCTTTCTTGTTCAGGATGATCAGAGAAATCGAAAAAAAATTGTCGGAACAAAAATATTTCTTTGCAATTACTCAAGAGGGGAGGGGATTAAAAAATGGATCAAAAAGTGGTCGGGGTTCGGATTGTTATTCTGTTCCTCTTCTCAACTTAGATTTTGCAAAATCATTTCGCCTCAGCGTTTGGTCTACAACGGACAATTTTAATGCTGCACTGCTTTAAGTAGTGCATCAGCAATGTTTATGGATACGAGGGTCGTGGATGCGCCCACATTTTTGAACACGGTACGTTGGCGTGGAATAGTTAGCAAAAATTCACATAATCGAAATACCCCCAAATAAATAAACTATATTGGTATGTGTTAAAGTGACATAGTTATGGATAGCTCACCTTCGTACTTGCTAATATTATGTAACAACAAGGCTTGGTTATTTGCAGATTCAAATTCTTCAATTCCTTCAACGTGTTCTAAAGGTACAGGGTGGTTTTCCTCGTTTTCGTTTTCGGGGAAGAACCAATCGGCCTGAGAAAAAAATATAGATAAAACAGAACGTCTACCCTATTATACCAGAAACTACTCGTACTTTAGGGCTTTACACTATTTTTATCGCGGCGTTATGTCAAACTCTCCAAGAAATGAAAAAATAAATATTTGATAATACAGTATATTGAGGGCGTTACATTAAACATTGAATTTCTTCCAGGACTTGGAGCATGTGCATTTGGAAAAGAAGTCCTAGGACGAGCATGGGTGAGTGGTACTTAGAGAATTTAATATTTTATTTTGATGTTGTAAGTGCTTCTGTTATCTTTTTCACCAGTAGTAGACTGTTCAGTAGAATATCAGCAATTGAAAAAGTTCAGACCTATGAGCATTTTTCTAGACTTGGCACATTGCAAATCGCAGTCTTAATCGTGTCCGTTGGCCTTAAGTAAAGTGACGTAACCATACAAAGAGACATAATACTAACATGCGTCAGTAAACTTTCGACGATCTTGCACTGATTCGTCATATGATTGACCATCGTCTCCATGTTCTCCCCTTCTGGCCTAACTATCGTTGGTCCAAAAACTATCGCCAAATTCTTGGCTTCCATCCTGTTCATATGACAATTATCAGCGACCCTCTTCAGGTGCATAATTATATGCCTCAGAGTGTGGTAGTTGTGTTTTGGTAAACTTCGCACCAACCTAGAAAAAACATTACAATTTACATAACATGTTCTGATCTTTTTAAATTGGACACAGTACAGAGATCTACATACAATCAAATTCTATTGTTGTATGTGGGCGAATCATCTTTTTTTTCTGTTACTTCGATAATGATCGGAACTAAAACACTTTCCAACGGAGATACATGAAATTTACTATACAATTTTCAGAAATGTATGCAGATTTTCTGAAGCGGTAGGCCGGTCACGTAGGTTAACTTTATTACGTAAGGCCGCCATCATTTCATAAAGGATTACGATCAGCACAAGGTAAACCCCCTTAGGAAAAAATTAGGTACGAATAGGTACAATCGGGAAATTGAATGGAGCAAGTCAGTCAAAGGTACATACAGTTAGACTATAGAAATTCTTTCCATGCTCTACCGGTAGTTACCATCCGTCTGGCAACGTTGCTCCTTCCCCTATCGTCAGACGCAGCAGCGCCTACCGGAACGCCGCCGCATTACTATCAGGACAATTAGGCAGATAGCAGAAGGAGACACGTACCGAAAACATTTCTCGTTACGCCGGGCGCTGAGCTCAGATAGCATGAGACACATATCGAAAACCTTCCACTATCACTCAAGTTTTAAAGACAAATTACTGGGGTTGGGAGTGTATAAATATACTAACAAAAAATTGAGATATACTCTCACCCACCTTTGTATAATCCCCCGCCCCCTACTTTTTCACCATTAAATTTTTTTCAAAAATGATCGGGATCCTCTGAAACGCTAAAAGTCACGTTTGAGCTGTATTTATTTTTTTTTGTTTTTGACTTTTTCCCCACCGCCACTGGACCGCTTTTCAAAAACTACAAACCTTTTTCATCTTTGGCGTAGTAGTAACCTTGTGTAAAAATTTCATCCAAATACTAGTCGTATCACAGTTATAGAGGGGCCAAGGAAGCATCTAAAAAACTAACATGTTTTCGAAATTTTTTTTGAGACTAGAGTTTTACTCGCTTCTCTGAAGAAAGTGAACAAGTTGTATTTGTCTATCCATAGTGTAGTAAAAAGGTAGATAGATGATTGTTATCTTGGATCCTTTGAAACTTTTGAAGAATATAGTCAAAAAATGTCCAGAGAAAAAAGCAAACTCGACTAAAAAGTAAACAAACCTCCTAAGCTCCTCTAGCCTAGCTTTGGGATCTTCTATCTTATCAGCCTTAATGAAATGTGGATACAGATGAACGGTAACCAGTGAGTCGGGCATTTTCCTGAAGTACGACTTAAGCAGACTGCTGACCACGTGCAGGTCATTCCATCGAGGATCCTCCAATGGGATGTCCTCGTAGTTTCTGTTGACCTCCTCAGTCAGAGCGGTTATTGATGCGTTATTGCCAGGTACTCGGTATATGCCTACGGTTTGTAGACCCCGCTCGTCTATTATATCTGTACACACCTCTACGAATCTAGAAAAAGAATGAATGCCAATTTCGATACTACAGAACCTATATAATTACATAAATACTGTGCAGTGACCATATTCTAGGGCAGACATTACACCATAACAATATCTAGGAATATTGCTTGTAATGTCGAATATATACAGGATGTTTTTAAATTAGATTTAATGCTCTACACAGAAACTAAGTAGGTCTCATCTGATACTTCAAGAGACAATTTATGTGAATTAAATATCTTATTGAAAAAATTAAAATTTTTCGAAAAAACAAAAAATGCGACAAAGAATTGTTTGAAATATACAATGTTCATACCTTGGAATATACATATTTTTCGTAGACGGTAAACAATCTTCCAAAGCAACTCCAAATGTTGATCCTTCAGGTGCCGTTGGACTACTAGGACTATTGGCACCTTGGTTGAATTTTCTAAATTGTTTCACCATCCTACCCCGCCACGTTTTTGATTTTGGACTTGTGGACGCTTCAGCAACCTGAACAAAATTTCATCATAACATGAGCACAAAAAAGCTATTAAAAATGTTAACTGATCAAGGAATCAAAGAGTTCGTTAATTTCTTAGAAGCAATCAATAAGTATTGTTATAAGCAGGTTGAATAATTTGAGCTTGATTTGCTTGTTTAACATAGTCCCAGTTTCTTTTCTTGATACTTTGCATTCTGAACTTTTAATGTCATTGCTTGAAAATACCCAGAAGATCAAGGCGAATGTCACGCTATCTGTATTTACTGTGATCCGTCGGTATTTATCATGGAATGTGGTATGTATTGACCGTGTAACCAGGCCATCAGTAATTATTGATACATAAGGCTATCTGGAAATTCACGTTCACACACATGGAATGATCAGATGGTACAAAACTCAGTAAATACTGATCGTGTGACACTCACTTAATACAATATTCATTCGGCTTCATAGGATACCTGAACTCATACAAAAACATCTCATAGCAGTTGCATACCTGAGAGGGTTTCCTACTCTTGCTCACAGGTGATTGGCCAGTCGGCGACCTGTTTCTGGAAGAAGTAGCTTTCGTTTTGCTCAATGGCGGTGACAGATGGCTACCTTGCACCTGAATGGTGGTTGAAGCTGGAATCAGCTGAGGAACAGCTTGCTGCCTACTCGCTGAGGGATCCTATAAAATGACAACGTAATGGTTAAGACATATCCATTTGGTTCTCATATAATCTCACGATATGTGGGATTATTTTCACCATTTTCTCAACTTAAAATAGTGTTATATACACATTGCATGTTTAAGCCGATTTGATTACCGTATATTTTACCAAATTGGTTTAAGATATTGCGAAAATCCTTATTTTCGGTCACTATTTACTTCTAGTTTTCATATCAGAAAATTTTATATCTAAAAATCATAGACAATAATATTCTCAACTGTCTGTTCACATTACGACCATTTTGAACTGGCCTGTGTTATTTTCAGACTGGCATTTATCCTAGTTTTTCTAAACATAATCAATATTTTGAAAAAAGTCATTTTAGAACATAGGTCAAAGGACTTCTTACGTGTGGTGGTAATTTATCTAACTCATATTTAATTTTCCTATAACTAATTTTATTTTCCACTAATGAATTAGAAGTTCTCTGCCTCTTATAATAAAGATTAATCCGGAGTAATCACAGAAAAATGATATATTCCACATTAAAATTAATTTATGCCTTCCACTATAAATGTAAATATATTGCCAACCGGATTTCTACGTATATTAAAGTGAAAAAAGTAACATCGAAAGTGAAACGCCAAATCCATTTTTTGTGTTTATTTATAGGTAGAAGAGTATTTATAAAAAAGCATGACTGTGAGTCAAACCAGGAACGTTATGATTTAAAATATTTTATCGGTCGAAACCCTTGAGACGTAACATCCTTGCTTGAAATATATCCGCTAATTGAGTCCAGATTTTCTCTAAATTTTCTCAACCAAACAAATTTTCTCAACTAGACATAATTCCATATTTGACTTGCACATTCAGATTAATACATTGTAGAGCTATCTAAATAGCATATTGAGTATAGTAAATGTGTTAATTATCCAACTTGAGATATCGATACCCACTGAGATGTTTCAATAATGCAATAACAACTAGTGCGCCAATTTCGCCAGAATGGTTGCAGACACTACGCCTAGATAATAGCTTCCGTAATAATTTTATAGACTGTAACACTGGGCAGAAATGAATTATAAATGTTTAACCATAAAATATCCCAAAAAGCATTCTATCTGAGAATGTTTTCCCTAATGCGTTGGAAATATAAATCAAATTTTGAGATCAACTAGTGGCTGAAAAATAATTCGATCACATGTAATCATTTCATACAGGAAACATCACAACAAATTGGTACACGAATGATGTTTCGTCTGGAAAGTGTATGTTTCATCTGTTCTAAATACATGAAAAAATAGCCTTATTGACAGAGCATGAATTCGCATGGAATCGCATATCGCGAGATGAAAATATAAACAAGGTTAAAAAAACAATTACTCAAAATAGCTAGCATAAATTTTTGCCTTATGGTCAGATACAGAATTGTTGAAATATATGCCTCAGTGTACAATAACTCTTCTTAAATATAAATCAATTGTACACGATTTGTCATCGAAATTTGTGGAATCATAAAAAGTATGCAACATCAGTAGCAGCACGGTGGCGTGATGGTAGACACTGTGTATCTATGTCTACTAACTTAGTTGCCTAGTTTTAGAGCTGCGAGGGTTAGAATCCCGTCCCAAGAGAACTTTGTGATTGCCTGTAGATGGTGCGTGAGGGTACCACTTCGCGGATCTGGGATCTGCAAGGTGGAGCTAGACTATGTACATATCTCATGCACACGTGTACACTTGTTGAGCCAGTCCGTTTTTTTCTACAAAAGATGACCGTTTAAAATAGTAAATTATTACATGTGCTGTCTCCAATTCTCACTCATAGTGTATAATATTTCGTACCTAAAGTTACTAGGCGATACACCCTAAAAATAAACTTCCTGTTCATGAAATTTTGAACACAAGCTCTGTCAGCTTACTTTGCTAAACGTGATAAATAAAAAATAAGGAAGTAGGTTTCTGTACAAACCAAATTACTAGAGGAGGGAAAATGAGTTAGAAAGTAGTTATTTGCGGAAGTCAAACGCAGAAAAGATTTCACAAAACACTTTCAAGGTGAAACCTGAGTACCCAGAGGGACTTACGGACTTTTATGTGTTTCGCTATGCAAATAGTTATTTTGCATGAATAGCAAGAAAACAACCTCCTTATTGGTAAATATCAGGTGTAGGATCCAGGGTATTTTCATTCGAATAGCCTCAGCTCTAAAATCGCCTTGCAAGTAATAAAATTATCATAAAAGCCCGATATTTCATGGTGGAGTTATTTTACAATGGAACGGGATATGGTATTGCAGTAATTTAAGCTCTTGCAGCGGCATTTTGCTGTAGCCAGTATCTATATTCGCAAAGGTAGATATTGTAGATTTAGTTATTTGCATACAGTTCCACGTTCTTAGTTTATTTGGACACAGATACAAAGAGCAAGTACCTCAGCATGCGCTTTTTTACGATTTATACGATACAACTTAAAATTATAAACATCTCATTTTAGCCAGAATCCGTATCTTTTAAAATGGGGCATCTCCTTGAACTGTAAAGGTTGAGACAACCTTAAATATATTCAGAAGCTAGCATTATATAGGGAGTGTCAAGAACATTTATCCAGAGTAACTTTCCATATCTTTGCACGTTTATTACGTTTAAATGAGTTAGAGCTAAAATGTAGACACAGAAACACCACAGCATGTACTCGTTGTTCGAGTTATTCCCCAGTTATTTTTAGTGTACTCATGTCGATACGGTTCATCTATGGCACAAGTTATACATTTATGTAATATGATGTTACAATTTTAGAAGTGCTATTGAATTTCTTGTTTTTTAATCACTCTAATTCGGTTATATCATGTTGTTAATAAACAGTTCTAAATAAACTTTTCAACCTCTGCTACTTTTTGGATTCTAAAGCTCAGTAATTCTTTCTGTGGTTTACTATGGAAAAATGATGATCCTGTTTTATCATGGTCGAAATAATCATGAAAGAAGCGTATTTTAATTTACTTAATCATATCATAATCATAAGTTGATGACAAACCTTACTCGAAAACTTGAAATACCCAGGCTTTCATTATAATAGATTTTATACAACACCCATAGTATCCGAAAAGTTAAAAACGATATTTTCTAAGAATTTTTTCATGCCAAAATCGACGTGCAGATATGATGACATGAGTGGAAACTGTCATTGTCAGTCATCACTGACATTAGCAAGATGTTATTTGTTTCGCTTGTTTTATAGAAGAATAAGTAAAGTGTGCTGATCTAGTACCTTTAAAAAATTTCATGAAATTAGTTTGCAGAGGAACCGACTTTTTGAAAAATGTTTCTAGGCCTTTCATATTATTAAATATTTCATCACAAAATTAATTTCGTCTTGAAGAGATATGACTAATTTATAACGGTGAGACTCCTGCACCTTTTCTCCTGTTATTTAGCAAGAGAATGATCCTGAGTGTGATTTTTTATCGAATAAATATCACACATATTTCTTCGAAAAGTAATGGGACCACGCTCACATCTATAAGTTATCCAATTCCTTTGTTTTTAGGTATTTTCCTCCAAGAGAGACATCATTGACTCTGATTGGTTCATTGAACTACGCTTGGTTTCACGAATTTTTAACTGCCTTTATTGTTTAAAATCATTGCTAAATTAAGTAAAACTATTGAAGTGGCCCTTATGTAATAATCTTTCACGCTTTGTTCATATTTTTTATACATAATACTTTTTTATATTCGTTATTAGGTGCACATATTTAAGACAATAAGGCCCGTATCGTCAGTCGTCCCTACAATTGTAGGGCACGTTTATGGTCCTCCTTGATTGTCATCCCTCTTTCTCTCCTTCAAAAATTTCTAGATTACACTTGTCCCGTGTCAGCGTCAGCGCTCTCCTATTGTGAAGATATGTTTTCTTTTTAAATTGTAGGAAATTTCAGGCTGCTAAAACATGATATAACTCAAAAGCAAGCACAATTTGATGCAAATAGATGTTTGTGTCATAACCTCAAAATAGAGTTCTGACACGGAGAAGCAGAAAACTATGACAATCAAGGAGGCCATAAAGGCGCCCTACAATTGTAGGGACGACTGACGATACGGGCCTAAGTCTCCATAGACTAGTGGTTTAAGTTTTAGATTCCTTTATAGGCACTTTCAAGCAACACTATGTACGCTTTTCATTTATATGAAATCACAGTATGTAAATGCGACGTTATATACTAAATTAGCCCAATATAAACTTACCAACTCCGCATCTGTCGCATGCGCCGCCTGTTGCTGCAACGCCCTCACCCAATCCGCAAACTCTTCCGCACCTCCTTCCGCTTGCAACAGAAACTCGGACCGACAAGGTCTGGCAGCCGACACGCGCGCCACGTGTTTCCGCTTCGTGTATTCGTCGGCGACGCGCACTACGCCACTGCGCATGTCCACGCCCCCACTTAGAGGGTGTTCCGTATTGGACGATGAAGGCGGGGACGTTGTGATAGGGGCGGTGCTACATGCAGATGTGCTTGTGGTGCCGATGTTGCCAGCAGGGTGCTGAGATGGGTGGCACTCTGACGAGACGGGGCTCTGGAAGGAAGAAACGACTTGTTAGAAAGTCAATTTGTTATAAAAAAGAACGTTTAAATATTCAATTTCCTCGTTCAAGTAGAAAAGCGCGATTACTTTCGAACTTCATCTTCTTACGTCACAGTTTTGATACTTGCTATTCACTGTCGCAGCCATATATCAAAATATCGATATTACGTTAAATAAAAATTTTGGGAAACACTCTAGTCCAAAAGGCGAATATAAAATCGAAAAACCCGTAGTCAAATATAACTCAAAAAATTGGGATGTATATGGATGAAAAAAGCGCTTTATAACGAATGCAGTATTTTATTTTATATTATAAACTATAGAAGGGAATGAGAACATCAATAGTTTGTCATTATTATCAATAAAAACAAACTTCCTTACTATTGAGAAATAATCTTAAATTACCTGAAAACTAAGCATCAATATTTTTGAGCCAAAGTCCAATTAGCCTAACAAGACCATGTTTTTGAAATTCAAAGTACAAATGAAAAAAATAATCAGTATGAAGCATAATTTATAAATATTGAAACTTGAGAGTATGACATCACTTCAAATATAGCGTTACTTAAAAATTACGTCACAATTCTTGACAAATCCGTACGACATTGAAATATCATGTAGCATCTGGAAATAGCTCCATTGATAAACACTGCAGGTGTCAGAATGCAACCAATGCGTTCAAACAATTTGACTAAGGACCAACAGACATGTTTTTACAAACACAAACCGTAGCAAAAAATGTGTCCTAGAAATCTTGAAAACACGAGTAGTGATCTGCAATTTTATAACATAGTTTTGGGGATTGTAAACTCATAATAAAAGTACATAGAAGGAATTTAACCAAAACTGCAATAACTTATAAAGGGTTGCCTGTCAAAAAAGATTGTGCGTGAATGTCTGTCACATGAGCCATCATATTGTATTGATAACGCTGATAGTAGTATTTCTGTACTAGACAGTCGATAAAAACGCATAGGTACGAAATCATTAGAATCAATAGAATAAGAGCTAAATAAGCTGTCGTTGCATATAAGCATAATTTATATTTCCTTATTACATTAAAATCTGTAAATGATGTTGGATAGATATATATGACTAATTTATACCTGGGAGAAAGATTCTCTGAACCGGTTATGCTACCTATCTAACTGTTACTTACTAATTAAGTTTTTGTGCCGGCATCTATCATTAATTTTTGGCTTCTATTAATAGCCAAACTATCTATTTTAAGTTTCGCACCTTTAAAAATCATGCACTATCGAAAATAAAATAACAGCTGTGATGTAATACAGATTGGAGACGTCACGAGTTAATTTTTCACGCGACAAACCTTGCCACACTTTTTCAGACGCATGATTTAACGTTCCGTTCAAGTGATGTATTAGGCCAAGAAATAGGGAGATTTTGAAATCCTGCAATTTGGACATCAGTAAATTTTGTCGTGTGATCGTTAGATTATTGCTTCCTAATGATAAGTTCAAATTAGCGTCATGATGTCTGGAGTATTTGCCACCATTTTGATAAACGCGTTTGGATTCTGTCTAAAAAAGTAATTGACACAATTTTGTGGGGAATTCTCCATCATTTTGCTTGTATAAAGATTTGTCATATGGTCAACAGAACGTTGTCCACGTAATCTGTATACAAGATTATTTCACGTAGAAGCTTCACAATGATTATCTATGATCAAGGATACCATTTTAAAATGAATCAATTTTTTACTACCACATGCAAGATTGGAAAATGTAATATTTTTTGATAATATGTGATATTTTCATTATCAAGATCAAATCAAGGCAGTCACTCCCAACAATCTATTGCCAATTTTGTAACTGAGTAATTTCAGTAACCGCTGCAGCGATTATAATAGAAGAGATATAGTAGATAATGTTGGTTTACCATACCTATTCCTGTCCATTAAAATCGTTGCAACGGTCGCCGAGGCTGCAACAGTAACAAAACGTATTCACTCTAAAATGGTATGCTGACACGTGGACAACGTACATAGAGTGCGGAATATTTTGTTGGACTTTCGATCCTTATACATACTTCAAGAACCTTAAAAGTGTCAAAAAAAAAACGCAAAACACCTTTTTGTACAAAATTCGCATCTACAGATTTTTTTACAAAAAAGGATAGAAGGCTTTCAAAGCTTGCTGTTAGTTTAGCCATTATAAGCGAACATATTTTTACATGTACCTTTATCTTCAAATTTCTGTAAACCGTTGACTATACGACAAATGTTCATAAAAGCAAAACTTTGCATCGATGGTTTTAGAGATTTTCGAAAAACGCGTTTTTAAAATGGCGGCAAATGCTCCAGCCTTATTATGACGCCAATTTGAGCTCATCATTAGGAAGCAATAATCTAACGACATCACAAAAAAATTCTCTGTCGTCAGAATTTGAGGAATACATATCTCCTGGTCTATTAGTTGTTTTATACCTACGGGTTAACGATTACTGACAGTTGTTCCCTAAATTTAAGGTTCTTGTGATATTATAATCTGATGCTGATTTCGAGGGTAACAAAATAAAAGCTTCGTTTTTTTCAAAACTCAATGTCGTTGGAATGAGAAATTGTAAAATTTTGAAGGCTTCATGTTCTTAGTATTGACGTAGGGATGCGAAACTTTGGAAATACCCTTTTTTATATCGAACCCAGTGAACTCGTAAAACACGCTAAAGTTTTCGCAATTATAATCACATTTTAAGGTTCTTGGCAGAGCTAAGAATATTGCTTGGAAGACATTTATTCTTTCTGGATAAATACATAAACATTTTCCTACTACAAAAAGCAATGCCTAAGATTCGAAACTTGGCAACACTGCTTGTTCTCCAGTGGATTCGAGTCCGCCACTGCGTCTCGCTCTAGTCGGTGAGTTCGACAAAGATACATCTGCACTAGAAATCAGTGTTAATTTTAAAATGAATGTTTTTAAATAGCTGCTGTGGGCTCGATTTAACATGATGATGGCGTAATACACCTGTTAGGGGGCAGACCGCAGCGCGTTGCCTAGCGTTTGAGCGTTTTCCAGCTAACAGTCCGATGGAATTTCGATGATTCTTCTGAGCAGCTCATCTACTCTAAATCAAATGCGCGTATTTTGTTTTTGTTGGGTTCGTAAACAGCGTTAATAGTTGTTGACAGAACTTTGATATTGAAACTGAGCGGTGGAATTTCAATGACTTTGGGAGACCTCTCATCCAAAACAAAAATTGTGGTATTTTGTTTTCGACGGATTTGAAAATAATGTTAACAGCTTTAGACATAACTTTCTCAGAAAAAAACGTATTAGTAGGAGACAACGCGACGTTAGTAACCGTGCTTTTGGTGATAAATCATAAAGGCTCAATGTTACGTGCAGTATTTAGCATAACAAACTGTCTAGAACGTCAATGCAGATATTTGCAACAATAATTTAATAATCCGGCACCGAAATGACATCAATAAACAGTACTTCCAGCATATGTAGCCATTTAGCGGCCAGGCAAACATGGAGGACTATCAGCATGAAAACGAAAGGATAAGTTTCAGGTGTTACAGTTTCAATAACATCTACCATAGTTACAACTCTATTAGTTTAATGGTAACAAAATCCGGGATAAACACTACAACAGACAATTAGAGCAGCCTAAAGCTAATTGGGGAAGGAGAATTGATTTGAGGAGGCGATTTTCATTTGTCATCAGCAGATGATTCGGTCACCCCTCATCTCGCCGTTCTTCAATTTTCAATCGCAGATTCCCCAGACTGACATCATGGAACATTTCAGGGGTGCTGTACAATAATTGATTCTGGAGCTGGCAGTAGACGACGTAAACTTGACAACATCTAGGTTAGAGGAAACGAGAGAAGTGAGTATTTGGGATCGCGATTTCAGCCAAGATCCGAACCGAATCAAAATCTATTGATATTACAAAGCACACTTTCGTATTGACCAAGTATTTCCTAGAAATAGCTAAATCAATCTTATAGTACGTAGACATCTTAATTTTCAGCCTCAAGTGTGTTGAATCAGTCCATTAAGCTTTTATACAAAAAAAAAATAATAATAAATGCACCTGGTGACATTCCGTTAGTTAATACTACTAGCCAACTGGCTTTGTCTTGATCTTGTACTTGACCAGTGCCAGCAATTCTTATAAAAATGAAGTCTACTGACTCACGACATAATTATAGGCATGATTATATTTTTGCGGTTCAAATCACTGGCACCAGTAATACTGGCTTTATTTCAGGTAATTTAAGAATCTGAGTTCTGAGATATATCGCTGATCTTGGAGTCTTTATACCAACATATTTTTTTAGATTGGTTCATCAGTCCATTTATTTCTACCAATATGTAGAGCAAGAGTCGCAAAAAGCTAAGAAGAATAAGTCAGAATATGTATTGTCGGACAAACAATAAGTGATACAGTATTTAGTAAAAAAAGTAATTTTTCAATTTTAATCACTTATTTCTTTTTACTACACACAAACAATCGTGTCAGGGTCTTTTTCCTCTTCTAATAAATTGATATCGTCTTTAGACCTTTACATGTTCTTAATCCTGATCCTATTGTCTGCTCGATTCTATGAAGCCATCAGTATTCTCTATTCTTACATTATTGGTTGTGTAGATGTCAGCCAATTTCCACAAAGTAATTGTCTACTGACTCACAGAATATTTTTGCATCTGTACTAATCGGCAGCACGTGAAAAAAATATTGGCGATATTTCAATCTCACCTAATGGCTTCATGGATCTCAAGTATTACGATGATCCTTAATAAGCTGGCTTAAATTCAAAGCACCCGGCGTACCCAGTTTGTGGTAAAATATTTATACATGTCTTTTATGTGTTTTGCTATAAGCGACAAGTGAATAATGTTTTGCAAGACACCAACAGGAATATTCCTGGAAGACATATATTCCCAGTTGGAGTGACAGTAAAATATATAAAACATCGCACTGGAAAAGCTTGGAAAATGGGAACAGACTGGTGTATGCATG